CGGTCCCGAGCGACACATGGCTCCACTGCCGCTTCTGCTGGCCAGTGCTGACCTGGCTGGCCTCCTCCCATCCCCAGAAGCACGTGGGAATACAGCTTCAGCTGCATGCTGCTCTGGATGGGACAGACCCTCCCAGGTCGGCACCAGCCAGCAGAGGAGGCGGCGGAGCCATGTGTTGCTTGGGACTGACCAGCGCAGGTAGGGGGAAAAGTGCAGCTGAGCCCCTGCTGCTCCGGCTGGGCTCATCCTGTCCCAAGTGGCACATGGCTACTCTTCCCACACGCACCGCATCGGCAATGTTAAACTGACGCGGTGCGTGTGGGAACTTTGTCCCTTTCCCAGCCCTTCAGCAGCCATTAGGAATCTGCTGAAGGGCTGGGGGAGGAACAAGGGGTGGGAATGAAAGTAAACAGTGTTTACTTTTGTTTCCCATCACAGCACCACGGGCCGCAGAAAACGGCTTGGCGGGCTGCATGGCGGCCCACAGGCCGTATGTTGGACAAGCCTGGTTTACTGCGTAGTAAAGCGTCTCTTGTAGACTCACTCTCAGAGTCATATTTATGCTCTATTCTGAAGGGACATGACAGGTTCACTCAGGACAAAGACCAGCAGTATGCTAAAGGCATGTGTGTGATGGCAGTAATAATGAAAGGCAGCACTGATGAGGCAGATACATGCTGAGATGGGAAGGTATACAAATCCCAAGCTAACTCCTATGGATGAACTAGAATAATGAATGAGGAAGGATGATTGTCCAAAAACTTGTTGGGAGGATATGCTAATAGTGCACATGGCTTAGTGGAACCTGCCGGGTAACTGGATGAGCTCTCAGGCATAAGGAAGTATCAAGGGAGCAGCAATTCTGCGTCCCTGGGAAACAAACGTGTGCAAAGGTAAAAATTGCAGCAGCAGCAGTCCACAGCATGCACTGAGTGGCAAGGCAACAGGTTACACAAAACATTATTTTAGTACATAGGCCTATCTAGTGATCTGTGGGTCCCATCAGTGCTAAATCCAGTCACCCACAGTGAAGCAAGATCACCCTCCACCATGAGGGAATCATGACACTCAGAACACTCAGGGAAGGTACCTGGGCTGCAAGTAGTCACTTATACACAACATTTTAACCAAGATGGAGGAATTCTGATTATGTACATTTGGGGAGAAAAGTCACACAGCACCTGTACTCACAAATTATTAGCTTATACCCAGCAAAGTCTGTCAAACTGTTGTGGGCCCACTCCAGATGTCACGGAAATCAGTGGAATTTTCAGTGGGAAGTTGGAACAGTAGGCACTGGAACAGTCTTTCCTGTTCAGGGCTTGTATGACCTTACAAAGATATCTTTGTCTTACAGCATCTTGTATGACCTTTGTAAAATCATACATTTTATGATTTTGTACCTTACAAAGATACCTTACAAAGATGCTGTGCATGCACCTGAGGGAAGGAGCCTTCTCTAGGGATGACAAGGAATGAAGGGACTGACCTAGTAGGACATTTACATTTCTGGTGTCTTTACCTCTATATTCAAGGAAAATTTCCATCCCCAGAACTGTGTCTCCCAGTCTGGATTTTGCAGGGATTTAAGTTAATGTCTCCACTGCCTCAGTTGCATGGATCTTTCCCTCTTCTCTAGGTTTTTCCGTTTCCTCAAAGGCCCTTTGGAATGCAACCTTCAGAGAGCCCCTAAATTGCTGCTTCCTGAAGTTCCTGACTAGGAAATAGGTAACAGGGTTAATGCTGCTATTGACAGAAGCCAGTATGAAACATATATCAGAAAATCTATCATTGTCTGTTTCAAGGAACCTGAAAGCATTGAAGAAAAGAGCAAAGAGAAGGAAGAAGCAGACAGTGAGCAGTATAACGATGCAGAGCCTTCCAGACTGCCATCGCTGTAAACTACATTGGATCCTGATGAACAAGATTGGTTTGGAAAGAATCATAAGGGGAGAGGCAATCTGAAAACCAATAATCCTTACAGCTTTCTCTAGTATACAGTAAGTTTTGTTCCAATAACAAACCTCAAAAAAAATGCCTGAGTCCAAATATAAGGGAAGAAATGGTCCCCATAATGGCACACAAACAAGCAGGCAAGAGGTTTGCACAGCAGAGTCAGTACCACATGGGGCAGAGGACGGACAGACATCTCTCAATGGCAATGACTGTTACGGTAATATATGAATTTTGGGGAATACTGGGTGTGCAGCTGAACGAAGGCTTTTTTCTATATCTCAGCAGACCTGCTGGTCACAAGGCAAAATGATGTATTAAAAATAACCTTGCAAATGCTTAGGCAAGCAGTTTTCTAAACGAAGTTGTAGTGTTAGAGCCCATTGTGTAAGAAGAACAAGATGCAGCCCACCAGCTATCATCAGGAGATAAAACAGAAGCAAGACCTTGGAGATGGTGCTGAAGTCAGCAAGAAACTAGAATGAACCAGCAAGAAACCACAATTGACTGAGAGAAGACCAAGGGCAAAGTTTTACACATGCGCTCTTAGCAGAGAGGTATGTAAATGAAGGAAATGCATAGGCAATACCATGCTAAGGAAGCGAACAGTAAACAGAGGTGGAGCTTGAGATGGGAGGAGAAATGAGTGCAACAAAAGGAGGGACAGAGGTGGAGTGCATGTTAATGAGTATGAACCAAGGTGTATAAATGTAGAAAAAATTATTGTTCAGGATGGCTCCCCTGTTTGTTGTTTTTTTGGGAGCTAGTCCGAACCTGTCTCCATTCTGAATAAAGCTGTTGTGAACAATGTGTGCTGGTGTTTGCTCCCTGCTTGCTCTGGCTAATAAGTGACAGGATCTATGGGCAATTGGATTGTTGTCTCCCTAGTCATTGGGCGCCGCATGGAGTCGGGATCTAACAATGACAATCAGGAAATACACAGTGGTATTCTACATAAACAGAGAAACTATATGCAATAGGGGAAAGAAACTATATGTTAAGTGCACTGTGGCAGGACACCAGTAGTGCCTGCCACTTTAAAGGCTAGATCAAACAGTCAGGAGGTGTTTGATTATGGCGGCCATTTTAAAACTCTGGCCACCTATATAAACAAGAGCAGTTTGCTGCTGGGGCCCAGGCAAAAAACACTGCCTGGCTGAGCTACTGCATGGGAACATCTTGCAGGTAAAAGCAGGAGGCTCTGGTCCTGGGCATAAACTAAAACTGCACCCTGAGGGGTGTGGGTGGTCTTGTGAGGCTCCCAGTGGTGTGGGAGTCCCCAGGAAATACTAGGCCAGTTACCACCCTGGTGAAAGGTGGGGAGGGTCACCTTAACCCCAGTCCTCACCTTTGGGTGGGTTATATTTCATGGATTTCATAGATGATCCATCTAATCCAGGGAAGGCCAGGTAAGCTTCTTGAAGTGCCTAAGCCTGCTGGGGTGAGTGACCCCGTGGGGCCAGGCACACTTTGTGAAGCACCTGAGCCAGGAATGGGGGACCCCAATCTCTGAGTGCAGGCAGGAGGCTTCAACCTAACTGAGGGACCTGAATGGTCAATGCTGGGGCCACAACCCAGATAGGGATCAAAAGGGCCAGGGGCCCACCACAAGGGATGCCCATATAAAGCAAAGAAGCTTGAGGTCCCGACTGGCCTGATATGGGGCCAGGGCCTAAAGAGAAGCTGAAGGTCCCAGGGAAGGGGCCACAGCTAATGGGCAAAGGGAACAGTTGAGTTGACTGCCTGAGATGCCATCTGTGAGGCGTGGGCCATGGTGTAGGAGTGAAATGGAGCTGCAGATAGCCCCCCAATATCGGAGTGTATAATGGGCAGCCTCCTGCCTAATTATTATATCAAGGTGTGGCAGATGAGTGAGGTGGGTGGCTGACCCATAGACAGGGAGCAGGCTGATGCTTGTACTGGGCATGAAAGCCTGCCCGTCACATGCACAAAAAAACTAATAGTCAGTTGTAGGTAATATGAAACTAAGAGCAGTGCAGAAGAGAAAGTCAGAGTCAGTAACAGCCAATTTCAGAATGTAAAATGCTGAAGTGATTTCTCTTAATGCTGAAGGTGAGGAACCATTGAATGATACTGTTCCTCACCAATACAAAGAAGCAGATGAGCAGAGTGACCATGTTAATAGACACATCACTTAAAATGAGCTGTCAACATTCGGACTGATATATACATACATATCCTTGTTCTCCAAGCTGGTAAGAGACAGGGATGTTGTGTCCAGCTCAATCATTATGAAATCTATGATATAGGATGATGTTCTTAGCTTTCACCCCTACACACAAAAAACTATTAAACCATAATCGGTGACCTTGACCTCCACAGGCCTGTGTTTCCCTTGTTATTTCAGCCCCTCCCCAGCAATCTGGTCAGAAGCAGCCAGATCCCAATTAGATTCTTAGGAAGCTCTTGGGGAAGCTAAGGGAAGACAGGGACACTAGAAAATGTAGATGTGTGGCCACTAGCTTACTCAGAGAAAGATTTACATGAGGAAAAAGACTGGAAGAGGGAGATAAGAGGAGAGCAAGGACAACTGTGAAAAGCCATCTGCCCTAGATAAGCAAGGCAGGGCAGAGGGAAGAGATTGGGGGTGGAAACTAGAAAGAAAGTTGGTGGGAGGAAGAGGTAGAGTACCCTTATGTCCTCCTCATCAGTTGTAAAGAAGAAAATCTCCATCAAGGAAATTCTTACCTTCTTTCTGTCTCATCCATTGGGTTCTGAACCAAGTATCCTGGAGACACAGGTCAGAGCAGAATCCCTTCACAACATCAATCTCTTATTGTCACCACTACAATCCTCCCTGGAGAATCTGCAAGTGAGGATTTCCTGTGTTTCAGTCACTTAACAAGGAAGTAAGTACTTTCTACCAATCCCCTTGCAGCGTGCACTCCATGTTCTTTCCCAGTCTGATCAGAGAAAGGTATTTGCACTTGTGCAAGGCTTGATATAGGGGTTCCTCCTTAAGGGCTCCTTACAGATGCTTGGGTGTGGGGCATATTTTAATTAGTGGCTTTTGGGAGCCACTCTAATTAAAACACCCACAGTGTCTTGCATAGCCAGTGTCCCATGCTTCAAAATTGCAGTGGAGGCACTTTAAAGCTCATTTGATGAGTTTTAGTTAAAGCACCTTTGCTGCCATTTTAAAGTGGAGATGCTGAATATATGTGATGCCGAGGCTGCTAGAGCATTCTAATTGGAACGGGTCAGAGCAGGTGTCAGACGTGTATAGGTGCCCTTTGTGACTACTAAGCAGTTTCCTGTCTTCCAACCTCATCCAAGCTCTGATTAGAAGAAGACTCCTATTTCTGTTTGCTTTAAAACCATTTCTAAACACATTTGCTTGTTACTGCATTCAAAATTCTCACCTCCTCAATTGTTTTTTCTCTTATGCTTCCAATCAGTCTACATATCTAGACTATTTAATAAATACAGGACACCATCAATGGCCACTTCAGCCAAATCATCTATATAGCAAGTCTGGTTAGGTCGATACTTGTCTTCCAGGCTGGTCCTTTTAGCAGGCAGAACATGGTGCTCAGCAGCATCACCTTTTGAAAACTTCTGCTTTTAAAGGCAGATCTCTTTCAGTCTTGATTTCTCTCTCACCCAAACACAACCCTGAATCAAAAAGAGACAAAAAGAAAATTACTCTGTCTCCCACAACTGTGTTTACCTGGCTTCTCCTCATTCTGTCAAACTGAAATCCCATTGGGTGGTGTAACAGGTATCCTCTCTGGGCCGATCCAAACATGGCCTAAACACCTGTTCCTGGGGCAACTGACCACCTTCTTGTCTGCCATGCCTTGCTGTTAATTGATTAATTGATGTTAATTAGTGGGAGACTGCCCTTGTACTGCCCCACTGCCAGGGGGTGCTATCTGCGGCTCCATTTCCTCCCCTACACCGCAGTCCACACCTCATCGATGGAATGGACATTGTGTCCTAGCCTTATTACAATCTGGCCCTTTTTTGTCCTCTCTGGGCCTTCATTTCTTTGATATGCGCCCTCTCTGGCACTAGGACTCTCCCCAGCCCTATTTTATTATGTGCCCTCTTCCCTGGGGCTCCCCCCAACAATGCTGCCCCCTCTCTGGGGACTCCTCAGTGATGCTGCCCCCTCTCTGGGGACTCCGTGCCCACACTGGGGCTTCTCAGCAACTGCCCCTTCTCTGGGGCTTCTCAGTAATGCTGCCCCCTCTCCAGGGCTCACCGCGCCTGCACTGGGGCTTCTCAATAATGCCGCCCCCTCTCCGGGGCTCACTGCGCCCGCACTGGGGCTTCTCAGTAAGGCTGCCCCCTCTCTGGGGCTCCTCAGTAATGTTACACCCTCTCTGGGCTCACCACACCTACACTGGGGCTTCTCAGCAATGTGCCCCTCTCCAGGGCTCCTCAGTAGTACTGCCCCCTCTCCGGGGTTCTCAGTGCGCCCGCACTGGGGCTTCTCAGTAATGCTGCCCCCTCTCTGGGGCTCCTCAGTAATGTTGCACCCTCTCTGGGCTCACCACGCCCGCACTGGGGCTTCTCAGTAGTGCCCCCCTCTCCGGGGCCTTCTCAATAATGGTGCCCTCTCTCTGGGGCCATCACAATAAAGGCTGCCCTCTCTCTGGGCTCACCGCACCCGCACTGGGGCTTCTCAGTAGTGCCCCCTCTCTGGGGTCTTCTCAGTGATGCTGCCCTCTCTCTGGGGCTGTCTCAATAAAAGCTGCCCTCTCTCTGGGCTCACCACGCCTGCACTGGGGCTTCTCAGTAGTGCCTCCTCTCCGAGGCCTCCTCAGTAATGCTGCCCTCTCTCTGGGGCCATCTCGATAAAGGCTGCCCTCTCTTTGGGGACCTTCTCTCTGGGGCTGGGGTCTGTGCACCCGAATGCTGTGCCCTCACTGGCGCTGGGGTCCCTACTCTGCTGTGGGTCCCCTATGGCACCTCCTCCATCCCCTGATAGCCTCACCCAAACCACCGGTTACAAACAACAACACAAACGTAAGCCACTTGGCCATAACATAAATGGAAGCCACCCAGCCATAACAACAGTCCAGCCTACCAGGGAATACTCCATCCTACTCCTAGGGTTTTAAAGGGCCAGGCCCTGCCCCTTCTGGTCAGCTGACCTTCCCTGGTTGCCCTGGCAACCCACAGCTGGATGCCTTAGTCACTGCTAGGGCTCCCTCCCTAGCAGTTTCCCCTCTTTAGGAGCAGGGCACCTCAGTGCTCTGCGACAGGTGGGTGTGAGGAGAATATAAGGAGATACTTTGTATAGGGAAGTCTGAAAAATTACAACTTCTTAACGTCAAACCATCAGACTTGGGGAAAACAGAGAGACAAGCAGATGGCTGGGAACTAGGGCTATGCAAAGCTTCAGTCCCTGATTCAATTTGGCCCAATTCAGTGGCCAAATCTGAATCAAATCAGAGGACCCTTTAATCTCTCTGAATTGAATCGGAACCCTCCAAATCAATTCAGCGATTGTTGGGATAGAACAGATTTACTTCTGAATCTCAGTGCCTTACCTTCACCAACCTGTGGTTCCCACAGTAGGATCCTCACATCTCAAAGTTCTAAACGAAAATCAGTTACCCCAACACAGAGGACATCCTTCCAGTCTATTCTTCTCCACTTAACCTTGACATATCTCGCAGGTCCTACCACAGAAAGGTCTTTTAAACACTAAGTGAGGCTGGAAATGGAGATAACCGTGTTTGAGGATTTCATTAGCATGGAACATTTTTTCTGGCATTCTGATGTTTCACCCAATCTCGTATACATGAAGGAAATTATTTTTCCTAGATAAAGTGTGATGATTCCAGATAAATTCCAGAAAAAGCTGCACGGATCAGTGAAAGTGTCTTATTTTAGTTAGTCTGTAAAGTGGCTGTATTAATTAGCATGAACAAATATCACCTTTTTTTTTCATTTTTCTCCTTTCTTTCACAATTTTGATATTTTTGTGATATTTGGTTATACCTTTAAATCTAGTTTAATCATTTACCTGGTCCTATGGTATAATCATATTTACTCACATATCACACACTACTTTCCCCCTAGAATTAGCCTTCCATAACTGGAGTGCATGTTTTCATCTGAACTTTTTTGCCTTGCATAAAAGCACGGACATGCAGTAAGATGGATGATGCTTCTTTTCCTTCCCTTTCTTTTCCTTCCTTTCCTTCCTTCTCCATCAGCTACATGGAGGAAGGGGTCAAGTCCAGCAGGGGAACATCCAGGAGGATGTAATGGTGTGATGGCATCCTGTTTCAATTACTACTCCACTCAGAGTTTAACACCAACTGCCAAGCAGCAGTCATAGCAATCCTATTTGGACAGTGCTGAAGGAAACAACTGAATTCATGACTCATAATCTACCTGATTCCTCCTAATGGTCTTGATGTTCCACTAGTCAAGCTATCCTTTGTTCAGCAATTTTGTTGTCTGTTAGCTGCTCCTAGTCTCTCTTCTCTTATTCACAGACCTGAGTAGCAGCCTTTAAAAAATGGACCCACCTGAACAGAATGGGAAGGGCTGCCTGGCAGAGAGGCACAGTTTGTCCCAGAGGGGACACTGCAAGCTCTGAGGCCAAGTGAAGCTGCTTTGGAAGCAGCCCTGTTGGAAGTGGGAGGGGTGATGTAACCCCAGCAAAGTTTTGAAATAGAGCTGTTAGCAAAAGCCCGGGAAGGGCCCTGAGCTGGGATTGGCTCAGAGGCTTGGATAAAAGGGGGAGCAGTTTTTCCCGCAGGGGGGGAACAAAAGAGAGAGAGGGGCTGAGGGACAGGCTGGAGACCGGATTCAGTCTCAGAACAGTGGTCCCTCAGAGAGCCCCTGAGAGAGCCCTGCGGAAGTAGCAGCAGAGAAGCTGCAACAGGAGTGACACAGTATCCAGTGTGATACAGTATCCAGTTCTTCTCTCCAGCCCCAGAA